GATAAGATAAAAAATAAAGAATGAAATGATTTTTTTTCAAATGCCAATATATTTTAAAACTTAGAAAAGGGAAATAAAGTGTGTTCATCTTTGCTCTTGTCAAACAACCATTAATCTTGGACAAAAAAGAAGGGATAAAAAAAAGACAACAGCAATTCCTATGAGAAAATGTTCTGTTTTCTTGAGCCCACTGTTGGGCTAATCCTGTTTTAAATGTCATGCACCAGGTGAAATATAACTTGTCTTTGAAGTTGCCTGGCTTCAAAATACTCTTCTGAAATTCAGAGCCAGGTTTCCTTAGCTCTAGAACCTTCAAGTGGCAAAGAGTAATTGTGTCAATACCAGTAATTTATAATAAGTGACTTAGTGTACGCTACCTTCTCTTGGACGGAGTTTGCATTTGCTTTGTCCTGTGTGGCTTAAATTCTGAACAAAACGAGTGTGGGGGAGGCACATTGAAAGTGAAAACTTTACCTATGTATATTCTGGTGCACTCGTATTTTTTCTCCTTTTCTTGCTGTTAGAAATTGATTTTATATATCAGATCACCAGGACCTGACGAATTCACATCAAAGAAATAAGTGACATACGTATCGAGCATACCAAAAGGCAAAAGGTGTTTCATCAACCTGCTTGCCAAAGAGCAACTCCTCACCTGTTGAATTTATCTTTAGGATGCAACCAACTTGTACAGGAATTAGAGACAGCCGATTGTCCCCTATCTATGGTAGGTCATTTCTACAAGGCAGCAGGCAGAGTGATAAAAAAAACATCAATTTTCAAGAAAACTTCTACATCTCGATTTTAAAAGGTTGCTGGTATTACATATGTGAAAATATCTGTGTTGTCACTAAGAGAACATAGAATATAAACAACTTAAAACACACATATATATACTCATCTTAGGACTCAAGAAAAAGGTTCACTTTTCTCTAAATTTGCCAAAAGATGCAGGTGGGCGGAAATGTACAAGGTCCCACTTACACACTTTGCACTCTGGTGTAGCTCAATTTGTTAGACACTGTAATTTACGTTTAAAAATTATTTAACACTAAACATAAAAATCGGTCACCTTGGTGTTATAATTATACCCTAAGCACTTTGAGTAACTATAGCAACAATTTCAGAGGCATTTTTAAATACAAATTTGGTATAATTATAGAACCGGGAATTATGGAGGAGGTACTGAGGGATGTGAGATTTTTCTGCTACACTGGACACATGCTACTACAGAAATGGATTCCTTGACTGGGACGTATTATTAACTAATTGATTTGTTCTACCTGCAAGCTATATGGTTTGTAATCCAAACCTCTTCATAGGGATTAGTTTCGGATACCTTTGGCTGGACGTGTATGTGTATGAGAAGCAAAGCTTCAATTTCAATGACTTGACAACAACATGAAAAGACATTTGGAATCATTAAAAAAATAATCACCAAGTTAATGAAAAACTATGCAATGGTTCCGTTAAGCAGCTCCCTCTACTAACGTAGTCTCAAGGAGCTGGTGTCTGTTATTTTAAGGAGTCGGCATACAACAGAGAGAAAGGTTTGTTGGTTTTAACATTTATCCCTGACCAAGAGTCTAAAGCAGGGGTCCTCAAACTACGGCCCGCGGGCCACATGCGGCCCGCCGAAAACATGTTTTTTTACTTCAAAATAAGATATGTGCAGTGTGCATAGGAATTTGTTCATAGTTTTTTTTAAACTATAGTCCGGCCCTCCAACGGTCTGAGGGACAGTGAACTGGCCCCCTGTTTAAAAAGTTTGAGGACCCCTGGCTAAAGTGACTGTGAAGCAAGATTCCTCCCTGCAAAGCCAAGGATGGGGCTTCGGAAGGTCCATGAACTCTCTGACACTGAAGCCAACGTTTCCGTGAATGTGCACGTATTCATTAGATCCCACGGACACCGCAGCATTGGACGCTCCTATGTTTCACTCTATCCAGCCGTGGTGAAGAAGTAATTTTAAAAGGAAAGGGCAGTGAAGAACACAGGTTTATTGTTACCAAATTCGGAACATCTCAGAAGCATCTTTTGGACAGAGACAAGCTTGACCACCCCCGGAGACCAAAGTCTTTGCTCGCAGCAGGGATCTCCCAGCTGTTTGCCATTAAAACCATCAAATCCGTTAGTACAATTCGTAAAAGGCATAAAATGATTAGCATCATCCATCCTCTCCCCGTTAAGAAAAGTGGGTACTAGTAAAAGCATGTAAAAGCAGGTCCTAACTATTCATCACCCCACAATTTCAGCAGTCTGACTATGAGACACCCAGGAGAACTGCTATCTTGTGGCCAAGATTTCACAAGAGAGAAACTCAAGCAAAATGAAATCTGTCTTTCAAGTGACCCAAACTGTTACACTGTACTTTTTTATTACAAACAAGCATGGATATAAATCTTTGGGGGTAAAATAATATATATCTATGTTTCCTCTGGCATAAACACAGCTATACACCAGAAAAAGTTATTTAGTGATGCACAACATATTATCTGCCCGAACTGAAACTGTGAACTGGTCACTCAAAATAGTGCAAGATAAACTTTACTCACTCTTCAATAATAAAACTGGCATTAATTAACAATTAATTTAGCAATGCTCATTAGGTGTTTAAAACCTTCCCTAGTAATGTCTGTTTTTGTCTTTCTGGGCTTCCTTAGGAGAGACTAACTATAATTAATAACATACTATCTGCTATTCCCAAACTTGGTCATGATGATGGAGCTCTTCTGGAGAAGCTAACGGTGACATACGATTGTTTTCCTTGAAAACAGGCTGCAATGATCATTTGTAACTCCTAGCATGTTAACGAATGTTCTCCGAGGAACAGAACTTTATGTCAGTATTAAACTTAACTCAGCTTACCTTCACGCAATTTCGATTTTCTTTTTTTTTTTTTTTTCTGAGTAAAGACAGTCGTCACAGGGAGGAAGACAGATGCACAGACAGGAAGAGTTTGCAGCGATATGTTTGTCTCTGGAAGGAACCTTTCTATTTAAAGGACTTGTGTTTGGCAACCACCTTTCCTGTCCCTTCTTCTAGCAATGCTGACAGCTCCCTCTGGTCAACAGATCAGCTGCCGCCACCCTCCTCCCCTATGACATTATTGCAAGACCTGCCTGGTCCCGCTGTCTGCTGACTGGGACCCTCACCCACTCACCCAGGACCTAGTCGCAGCTCTCAGCATCCTCTCTTGCGCTCCCAGCGCTCGCTCTCAGCGCCCCCTTCCGGGGATCCCCGGGACGCCGCGGGCGCAGGAAAGTTAAATCCCAACTCTGAGAGGCTGCATCCAGGTACAAAGCGAGGAAAGGGCGAGGAGGAGGTGAACGCGCTTCCCGCCAAAGCCAGGGGAATGGGGATCTGTGTGAGGCCCCGCACAGGGCGTCCCGGGAGCACCGCTCCTGCGCGGGGGTTCCCTCGCACATCTTGGGAGGACCAGTTTCCTCCGCGACCCAGATTTGCCTCCAGCCCCGAAACCCTGGGCCAGAGGATGCGAAATCCGTGCAGTGGCGGAGAGATGCTCGCGGCAAGGGACTCGCCGGCCTGCGGCCCATGGGGTCCTCCAGGCCCGTCCTCCCCGGCCGCGGCACTCAGGGCGGCCCCCAGCCTCCATCTCCTCCTTAACCAAAGCGCTCGGCGGAGTTGAGCCCAAGTCCCACTGCCTCCCAGTTCCGCACGTGCGCCTCCAAACCGCTGGAACTAAACCAGAAACAGCTGCCCCCGCCGGGAGGCTGCCAGGCAGCGGCTCCGAGCCCGCGAAGCCCCGGCTACCCGGACCCCTGCCCTTCGCTCCAGACCAGGGGAGCCTGGGCGCGCGCCGGGGGCGGGCGCACTTCCACTGCGCACCGTCCCGAGGTGCGGGGTGGGGGTCCCGTCTCGCCCACCGACCGGTCGCCCCTAGGGTCGCTTCCGCTCCTCACCTCTGCACGCTCAGGCCTCGGCAAAGGCAGGGACACAAACTTCCAGCTGGTGCACTCGCTCAACAGGGGGACCCCCGCAGGGAAGGTGTCCTTCTAATCCCGTGCGCGCCACCACCCGCTGACCCGGCTCCGGCCTGGAGACCGACCCTGCCCCGATCCACAGGACCCGCCCGCCCGCCCTGCCGCCCCGGGTCCCGCCAGCAGCGCGGCCACTCAGGGATGGGGCAGGGGGTCGCTTACCAGGTGGGATGCGCGCTCCTCGGGCCAGTTACCCGGCGCCCGGAGCCCCGGAGCGGTCGTAGGGTCCTCTTCAGCGCCGACCAGGGAAGTCGAGGCAGCAGCCGCCTCCGCCCCCTGCCACTTCCTCAGAGCCGTACCCCACTTATGTGCTCGGGGCTGGGGGCGCCGGCGTGAGCGGCCGGCTGACCGTCCCGGGCGCGCGGCCGGCCCGGGGGCAAGCAGGTTCGTTCCCAGCGGGGGAGACGGCAAGGGGGCCAAGTTGAGTGTCCCAACCAGTTCCGCCAGGGAGCCCCCGGGAGGGGTCACCAGGACCGGGCTGCCCCCGCGGAGGAGAGGTGGAGAACGGGAGCCGCCGCCCGGCAGGGGCCGCGGCTGGTGGAGGACGGCAGAGCACACCCGCGATGGGCAGGCAGCGCACGGGAGCGGGCGCGTCGAGAGCAGCTGCCTCTGGCGCCTCCTTCCCCGCGAGTCGAGCGGCGCGTGGAGAGAGAGCGGGGAG